AATTTATTTATTATTTTTTAATCCCCACCCCCACTTCCACCCCAACCTACGGATGTTGCCATCTCCCCTTAAGAATTGGATCTCTGAAGGTGGGGTGTCTCCTCCCACGTGCTAGTGGCACGCACCCAGGGCCTGGAGTACAAAGGGGCCTGATGCACCCGGGGTATGGGCCGTGGCTCCGCTGGGGCTTGAACCCAGGACCTTCTGCGTGCAAAGCAGACGTGCTAACCACTACTCTATGGAACCACCCCAACAATATTTTATTTTATGAGGATTCAACCAATAAGCTTTTGACTTTCAGTCCCTAAAATGTGTTTTCTCTGAACCAAGCAGTAGGCTAGATGCAGAGGACACACTTCTTATGTCCTCAGGGAATCTACATTTATGAGACAACAAACCGATGACAGAAGAGAAGTTCATGGGAGGCGGGGGGTGGAAGATCGGGGGATGCCTCTTAGAGAAGCGCTATTGGAGCTGAGACCTGGAAGATGAGGACCTGGCCACGTCAGAGAAGGAGGAAGAGAATTTCAAGCTTGGAAAAGCAACTGTAAAGGCCCTGAAGTGAGAAAGGGCTGTTTGATCAACGAACAAAAGAAGGGCAGAGTGACTGCAGGGCAGGGAGTGAGGATGTCTGGGATGCACTTAAGAGGCAGGCAGGGCCCAGGCCTGGGAGTGTGGCGATCATGGTAAGAGGTTTGAATTTTTTTTTTTCCTAACAGCAGTGAGAAGCTACCATAGGGGATTTAAGGAATAGAGCGGCATAATCCGAACTAGAAAATGACTCTGCCCAGTGAAAGGCAAAGGGCAAAAGTGGAAGCAAGGCAAGAGCTAATGGTGACTTAACTAAAATGAGTCAGGGGACAGAGGTTATTGAACAAGTTTGGGAAATGTTTTTAAAATAAAACTGATAGAACTTGCACTTGACTTAGTTAAGGAAGAGGGGGTGAGAGGACTCAAGCTGACTCCCAAGTTTTGACTCCAGCAACTAGGTGGGAAGTGGTGGCATCTACTGAGACAGTAAGGCTGGGAGAACAGGTTTCAGAGGCAGAAATTATCAAGAGTTCCATACTGGACGGACTTAGATGCTCAAGAGACTTCCAAGCAGAGGCAGAGATTTCGAATAAATAGTTGGATATACAAATCTACGGCTCGGGAGAGAGGTCCAGGCTAGAAATACAAATGTGGGAATCACCAGCATATAGCACTAGATTAAATCACCTAACAGTATATCTAAAGAAGACAAAGAAGAAGATCCAAAGAACCAAGAGGAATAAGGTTTCTCGACCTCAGCACTACTGACGTTTGGGGCCGCATATGATTTGGTGAGAGTGAGGGCTGTGCTGTGCTGTGATGGCGGCACCCCTGACTTCCGCTAACTGGATGCCAGTAGTACCCACTCAGCCGCCAGTTGTGACCACCTCCAATGTGTCTCTACTCATTGCTAAATGCCTCTGAGACTGCCTCTGAATGAGAACCACTGATTTGGAGGCAAGATTAGGAACAGAAACAGGAAAGGAGAGTAATTAGCAATGGCCAACTGCTAACTGAGGAAGGAGGAAAACTAAAAAGAAGTGGTAGCTCGAGAGCCAAGGTTGCAAGGAGAGAGGCAGAGTCAACTGGATCAAGGAGTGTGAGAAGGATCGAGTAAGAGAAAGAGAAACGTCCAACCTGGAGTTTGCTGGTATCTGGATAAGAACACTGGTGGAGATTGGAAGCTGCACTGGAAGGGCAAAAGAATGAATGGGAGAATAGGAAGGAGAGACAGAGCTCTGGCAGTTTTACTGCAGGGGAAGCAGAGAACAGGCAGCAGCTACAGAGGAGAGGGAATCGGCGGAAGAGGATTTCCTCTTATAGAGTGTGAGTTTGTATGCCAGCA